GGCCAGCCTGGCCTGCCCCCCGAGCACGGGGGACCCTGGGTGACACCGAGACTCTGTCTGGGGCCCGCCAGAGGTTGTGCATCCCCAGGGGTGTCCCGACCCCGGATCCTGCACCAGCCGGTTATCTCACGGGCCGCCGGCTTCCCAGGTGGGGACGGCACCCCCTTCCCGAAGGCGCCCGCGCTCGCCGCCTCTTCCTCTCAGATTAGCTTGCGACGGGCAGCCCCTCCATCCGGGCTGTTTCCTCGCCCGGAATATTGGCTTCAGTCGCTGTGACAGATGGGCGTCGGTGACTCAAAGAGAAGCTGGGAGCTTGCAAACCACACTTCCTTCCGAGTTGAGAAATCACAGCCGCCCACGCGTCCCAGGTAGCCTGGAAGGAGGGGGCTGGCCGAGCGCGAGATGACACTTCTGGGGGGGCTGTTTGCAGGGCTTCCGGGGAGCTGGCAGCCCGCCCCCCGCGGGGCCAGCCAAGTCCCTGGGTGGGGCCGCCGGCTGGGGAGGGCGGCCTGGCTTCCCGGCCACAGTGTCCTCTCGCCCCCGGCACGCGCCCCCCACCCTCTCTGAGTGAGAGCGCGAGAGTCCCCGACAGAGCCCGGCCAAGGCGGCCTCGTTGGGTTGCGATGTGTCCCTTTCATGTGACGTGAGACCCGCACGGCCGCTGGACGTCCTCAGGAGCCCCACCCTGGGAGCCCGGCTCCTCTCCGTGGACGGCTGTCATTCAGCGTCACGGTCACAGGGGGGCTGCTGCGGCCCCAGCCACGAGCCTCAGCTCCCGTAGGAGGAAGGACAGCAGATAAAAGGCAGAAACAAACAACCCAGCAGCCCCGGGGGCCCGGGGGCTCCTTCCCTCACGTGTGGCCTTGTCACTGCCCTCTCTGCCTCCGTGCCACACGGCCCCCGCGTCTGCGTCAACTCGCAGCCCCCTCTCTTCTGAGGACACTTGTGATGGTTAGCTGGGCTCCCCCGGGTAACCAGGGGTGCTCTCCCCACCTCAGGGTGCTTAGCTGAACCCCACCTGCAAAGTCTCTTTTACCGTTTACAGCGACGTGTCCGCAGGTTCCAGGGACGAGAACCTGCCGCTCGGGAGCCACACTCACCCTGCCACACCCATCCCGTCTAACGCCCGGGGGCCCGTCTGTCTGTGACCGAAACGCTACGCTGACGTCGGGGGTGCGAATCTGTGTGGCTGTCGTCTCTTGAAAGTCTAGAAGAGCTGGTGTCTTTGGACCCACAGCCCCGCGGGTGGGGCTCATGGGCCATAGTCCCCGCCACCCTCTGCTGCCCCCATGTGGGCGGGTGACAGCCCCGGCCTGCCGTGGACTCCCCTGCCGGTTTCCTCGGGCACATCAAGAGAAAGCACCTGAGAGACGAGTGCAAACCACTCACGCCAGCTCTGAGTTCGGCCCCCAGCGCGACCCCTCCTCAGGCCTCCCAGCCGCCTCCTGCAGCCGGGGGTGCGCTCCCTCGGGTCACGGAGCTTCGAACGACTGTTCCGTGGACGCGGAATTGCTTTGGGCGGCAGGCGGCCTTCACGTAGGCGCCCGGTCTCGTCCAGTTACCACGATGATGATGAATTTGGACAAAGGGAGGTTTGCCTTCCGTCTGATTCCTTCACAGAAGCTGCTCTGCTCGCCGGCGTCGCATCCCTGCCTCCGAAACCAGACGCGTCTCACCGCAGGTGTGCCCGCGAGACGGGTCACCGAGGCACCCGGGGGGCTTCCGTGCGATGTCCAGCACGGGGCCCGGTCACCAGAATAACCCGTCAGCGGGCAGGACCGGCTGTGACCTCCCGGCGGCCGGGGTCACAGCCGAGGATGCTGGCTTTAGTGTGTGGGCTGGAAAAGTTGTCAGACAGACGCTTCAAAGGCTGAGCTGTATATGCAGATTCCCCCTTGTTCTCAAAATCGCATCTCACTCAAGGACGAGCCCAGGGAGCGCGTGCGGGGCTCCGAAGAGGAGAACAACCCCGGCGCCTCCGGAACCTGGTCCTGACCTGTGCAGAGGACGACCCCGCGCACCCGTGGGGGCCGGCGCAGGTCACGCCCGGCGGGGGAGTGAGCACTGGCCTGCGTGGGCTGCCCGAGGCCCCGCTAACAAAGCACCTCAAACCGAGGCAGAGACAAGGCCCTTCGTCGTCTCTGGTTCTGGAGGCCAGGGGCCCGAGATGCAGGCGTCTCAGCGCCGGGCTCCCCCCAGAGCCTGCCAGCGCCTGGTGGCCCCAGGCGTCCCTGGACTTGTGGCTTCATCCCTCCCATCTCTGCCTCCGTCTTCACGGGGCTTCTCCGCTGAGTTAGTGCCCCAAGTCCTGTCCTTATAAAGACCCCTGTCCCGGGGCTGGGACCCCCCCGGACGCAGAGCTTACTCATTGAAATATACGTACATATATCTATATCTATATATATGAAAAAATATATAGAAATGAAATTTTACGCCGGGGGAAGACGCTAATTTCTTTTTTTTAAATTTTTAAAAATTGATTTGAGAGAGAGGGGAAGGGAGGGGTAGAGAGAGGTGGGAGCATCGATGCGAGAGACTGAGGGCCGAGCCCGCAACCCGGGCATGTGCCCTGACTGGGCATCGAGCAGCGACCTTCTGGTTCGTGGGGTGGGGGCGACGCTCAACCACTGAGCCACACCGGCCGCGGGACGTGTTCATTTCTCCACCACCCCGGAAGGGAGATGGCTGACGGTGGCGAAAGCCGACACTTCCCAAAATAGAGCCGTGCGCCTGCCTTTCAGGTCACACCGGTAGCCACCAGAACAACTAAAAATAATAACAGTGAGGAAAGATCGGGGGGAGCGGGGCGGGGGCGCAGGCAGTGGCCAGACAGACGACCCTCAGGAAGCATCTCTGCTGACGAAGCAATTCCCACCCGCGAAACGACTGCGCGATGCCAGAGGGCACTCAGACCGGGAAAGACGACGTCCCCGGGAGCGGGGCTGGCCAGCGAGGGAGCGAGGGAAGCGTTAACTCAGTGTGCAGCTTTCTGGGTGGTTTTCACGTGGGGCCGGGTGCGCCCTGGGCGGCCGGGTGACAGAGAGAGGGGCTGGGCTGGGCGGGAAGGACCATGCATCCTGGGACCTGCCTGACCCCCTCTTTTCTGCTCCCCGCCAGGCCTGGCCAAGCCCATGGGTCTGGTGGAGGGCCCGGGGGGTCTGGGCCAAGGCGGTGTGGCGGCCACTCTGCGGGATGACAGCCAGGAGACAGCCGGCCACTACGAGGAATATGGCTACAACGCCCAGCTCAGCGACCGCATCTCCCTGGACAGGACCATCCCCGACTACAGGCCCAAAAAGTGAGTAGTGACCCTCCCACAGGGACCCCCAACCCCCCCTGCCCACCGTGGGCTCCGGACGCAGATGGTCACACAGACAGACGGGTGGCCCTCCGACGTCGGGGATCTCCCCTACCTGGTTTCCGTGCTCTCGGCCGGGACGGTGTCCTCCTCAGGGCCCAGACAGGACAGGCTGCTGGGTCCCTTTCGACGCAGACATCTGTGGGTCTGAGAAAGCCAGGCTGCGCCAAGCTGGCGCTCAAAGAGCCGCCGTGAACATGAATGTCTCCAGGGACGCGAGCTCGAAGCACCTGGCTGTGCCCGGCGGGGTTGTCCCATTTGTTTTTGGTCCAGAGACGCGTAGAGACTGTTTAAAACTAGCACTGTTGTGTCTGAAAGGCATTTGGGGCCTGTCAACCGCCGTCCCGCCCACTCCAAAGCCACAGGAGCTGATGAATCAGACGGTCGGGCCCCCCCAGTGGCCTTGGCTGTGGTCACTCAGGGCGCAGTCCTGGCTGTATCACTGCATCCTGGTTGAAAGCTCATGAGGCACCTTGGTGAAGACGAGACTTGAGCAAAGCGCCTCAGTAAGTGGGCGTCATTGCTTTAATGAGGTGCAGCGGAGCTCGGCGTCTGGGCCCGGCTGCCTCCTGTGGCTCGTCTGTAGGAGCCCAGCTGGCAGCAGGAGCCCTGAATGGGCAGCCATGTGGTCAAGGTCCCCTGAGCCAGTGATGGGCACAAGCCCCTCCGTGGGGTCAGTGCTGGGCCTGGGGCTCGGGGACCAGCTCCTGCTTTGCTCCCGTCCTAGCTGCGTGGGGCTTGCGTCACCTGTCCCAGGAATGTCCGTAGAGACCTCAGGTGCCACCACGTCCCTGGACAGCGACCAGCCTGCGGTTTGCCTCCTTGAAATCCAGTTTCCTCTCCTTGGGCATCAGCTCCCCATTTCCGTCTGGGAGGCTGTGGAAACTTTTTACCCCAGCAGGCTGCAGGGTGCGTCATGTGACCCGGCCCAAGCCAATCAGAGCTTAGGGCCCACCAGCCGCGGCGCTGGCTCCGGGCTGTCACAGCCCACCTGTGAAATCCGAAAAAACATCCGGTGCTGGAGGATGAGCACCTGGATCCAGCTATTCCTGAAGCTGGTTGTAATTAATTACAAATAAATAAAAAATAAACCCTTAGGCTCTGCAGTAAGCTAGCAAATATACACACATACATATATTAAAAAAATTTTTTTTTGCTTAAGCAAATTTGGATTGGTTTTCAGCTTCTGAAAGCTCGAAAGGGCTCCAGGTTCATCCCGCGTGGTGCTTTGCATCCTCGTGCCATCAGGAGCACCTTCCTCCGGCGATTGGCTGGGCCTGGGATTTGCTTGAGCCGCAGGAGCCCCCCTGGCTTTCCCTCTTTCCCGCACATTGCAGGCCGCTCCCCCTCTAAGGAACCTCCGTCTCCCAAAATAAAAGCTGACAGGCGCGATCAACCCCAGTTGCCTCCTCACGTTACGGAGGACACCAGGGGGAACGTCGGACACGCTGACATTTGCAATGCACCTTAATTGATTAGAAGCCTGATTCACAGAACTCTGACGAGGGGGCGCCGCTCTCTGCCGCGCCGAATTAGAGCACGTGGGTTTTACGTGTTTGTTTATATCCCATTTCTTCCCAAGAAAGAAACAAAAAGGCTCTGATGCCAGTGACATACACAGAACTTTCCCAACACACACACACACACACACGCACGCACGCACGCACATATGTATATGTATGCACATGTGTGTCTATGTCTGTTCATGTGTGTGCGCACATGTGTGTGTCTGTTCACGTGTATGCCGGTGCGAGTGCATGTGTGTGCACGTACGCACACATATATGTCTGTTCACATGTGTGCCTGTGTGAGTGCGTGTGCGTGCATGTGCGTGTGCATATATATGTTCACATGTGTGCATGTGTGAGTGCATGTGCATGCGTGTGCATGTGTGTGCCTGCGTGTGCCTGTGTGTCTGTGCGTGTCCCAGCCCCAGTGGCCGTTCAGAGTGCTCACTACTTTCTCCCATTAACAGTATTCATCCCCCTTCCTCTGGAGGTGGACAGCTTTCTAATTAAGCCGCGGCTTCAATTACGCCACAAAGCACATAAGTTAGATCTTGATTATCGAGCCCGGCCCAGGGGATCGTGAAAGGAAAACAGGAAAATCCAAATTAAACAGGATGGTAAAAGCCAGCGGCCTTACCCGAGGCCCCGCACAAGGTCCCGGCGGCCGCACGTCGCAAAGCCTCTGTGCGCAGTCACCGAGGCCCGTGGGGTCGCCCTGTCTCACTGGGCTCCGTCGTTTCCTGTTGATGGCGTTGCCACCCCTCTGTCGTTGGGAGCGGGGTTTAGAACTGGATCGAGCTGGCCTCCCGGGGGGCACCAGGCGCCCACCTCCCTGCCCCGTCCCAGCACTGACACTGTCCCCACCACGGTGCCGCCCGCAGGTGCAGGCAGATGACCTACTCGGACGACCTGCCCCAGATCTCCGTGGTGTTCATCTTCGTGAACGAGGCTCTCTCGGTCATCCTGCGCTCGGTCCACAGCGTGGTCAACCGCACGCCCTCCCAGCTCCTGAAGGAGGTCATCCTGGTGGATGACAACAGTGACAACGGTGAGCGGGGCTGGCGCCCCAGGGAGGCAGGGTCCAAAGTCAGGGTGCGGACAGGGCAGCCGTCACCTCCATCCAGGCCCGAACGTCCCACCTTCCTAACTGGAGGCTCAGGCCCCATGAGACACTAAGTCCCCACCCCGGCCCCTGGCAGCCACCGGCTTTCTATGAATAATCTGACCCCTCTAGTCCCTCATACAAGTGGAACCTACGGGGTCTGTCCTTTTGCGTCTGGCTTACTTCACCGAGCATAGTGTCCTCAAGGCCCATCGACCTTGGAGCAGGTGTGAGAATTTCCTTCCTTTTTTAAAAATCCTCACTCAAGTATATATTTTTCATTGATTTTTTTAGAGTGGGAGGGAGGGAGGGAGGGAGAGAGAGAAACATCGATGTGAGAGACACACATCAATGGGCTGCCTCCCACATGCAGCTGGGGCTGGGATCAAACCCGCGACCCAGGTACGTGCCCTTGACCGGGAATCACACACTTGACCCTTCGGTGCTCCGGCCGACGCTCCCACCACGGAGCCACGCCGACCAGGGCAGGCTCTCCCACGGCACGCCAGCTTCCCGGGGGTGGTCTCCCCAGCACCCGAAGCCTGTCCAGCCACAGTGGGTTCCCTCACACGTTTATGGAACGTGGACTGGGGCACACGGCGTCCCAACCTGTCCACAGCCACCTCCGGTCCCTCCAGGGATGCCGGGGTGCAGAGCGGTCTCTGTGTCTCCCCCGCAGTGGAGCTCAAGTTCAACCTGGACCAGTACGTCAACAAGAGGTACCCGGGCCTGGTGAAGATCGTCCGGAACAGCAGGCGGGAGGGCCTGATCCGGGCGCGGCTGCAGGGCTGGAAGGTGGCCACGGCCCCGGTCGTAGGCTTCTTCGACGCCCACGTGGAGTTCAGCACCGGCTGGTAAGGGCGGGTGCAGGCGGACACCCTGCTTAAAGGCGCCCCCACCCGCGCCTCGCTCTCTTGTCCTAAGGTATTGTCCCAGCCCCTTCTGCGTCGCTGTCTGCCCGGCCCCCAGCTGCAGGCCGCAGGCCGCACAACCCCTGCTCACCCGTCTCCTCCCTCCGGTACATCATCAGCTCCCCGAGGCATGGGTTTTCTTTCTTTTCTGGTTCACACTTGTATTTTAATTTGTTAGGACAGACCGTGGCACATAATCGGCCCTCGGTTGATGTGAATGAATGTACCTCCCACGGGTGCAGGGAAGGAGGGGCAGGCGCGGTGACAGGCTCGGCTGACCCCGGGAGCTCTGGGCTCCGACAGCCCTGCAGAGGCGTCACAGGCCCGGCCCGTGTGGTTTTATAGCCTTGGTGCCCATCGGCTGTTACTGTCGCTGCCCCAGGCGGGCGAGACTCGGGCGAACGGGTCTGCAGCCCGAGGACCCCGCAGCTTCCAGCGGGGAGGCCCCGGGACCCGGCACTCTGCGGGTGGGCGCCCAGCGGACACCAGACCCCGTGTGGCCGCCTGGCGCTGGGCCCCGGCTGGGGTGAGTGCCCTTCCCGGGCCCTTCCTGAGGCGCGCCCCCAACCCCTCCCAGGGCCGAGCCTGCCCTCACGCGGATCCGGGAGGACCGCCGGCGCATCGTGCTCCCCGCCATCGACAACATCAAGTTCGACACGTTTGAGGTGCAGCAATACGCCAGCGCCGCCCACGGCTACAACTGGGGGCTCTGGTGCATGTACATCATCCCGCCGCAGGACTGGCTGGACCGCGGGGACGAGGCGGCGCCC